CGAAGAGTTTTGAAAACAGCCTGAGCCAGCGATATAGCTTGTATCGTGTTAGATCAGATTTATTTCAGTCAAAGCCAGCGACAACGATAGATTGGAAAAGGCCCCATACAAAAGTTGCCAGACCTTGGGGCAGCAGCGCTTGCCCGAATAAAGCAGCCCGCCTTCAAATGCGGCGCAGCATTGCCAGTCAGCAGTCAACAAAACACAGTGTGATTGTGCGCTTCCGATGGCATGCGGCCCTGAAGCGAAGTCAGAGTACTTTTGCAGGTCACCAGCATTGTAACTTTCGCACGATGGGCGCAGTAGTTTTGCTGAAATACTGTGAACATTGCAAAATAGAGCCAACTCACTGCTGTGCGCTGAAACATTTTGATCACTCACGTTCTTTATAACAGGTTTATTATCGTAAGGTTGCGACAACGGCAGGCTTTCAGAAAAATGGTGAGTAAGCGACAGTCGTGGTCAATATGGTTGTGAAGACGCATTTAGAAAACAGCTCAACATAGCCTCTTTCAGCTGCTATCAAGAATATTTGTTTTGTCATTGCCCAATATTAGCGTCTTGTAATTGCAGGCGTTTGCGCTTTTATATTAGCTCGTGACCAAACCGTTGTAATGGTGATATAAAGCAAGACTCTCCATTAACATTACAACTAAGATAAATATCAGCATGGCGATAGTATGGCCCAGTTTGAGGGGTAGCCGTCTGTTGGCTTGATCTCGAGGCTGCCGTCGTACCGCTTACGTCAGCAGCAGAATGTGGTTGGTCAATCACCCTTCTTTGAACATTTCGTGCGATATTTTTAAAAATTTCAAATATGTAAAAACAGTAACAATTATGTCCGTGTTTTTCCCGAAGTGTCAATGTTTAAATAAATATTGTATTTGGCGCGTCGGTCAGGCCTTCTCGCCGAATTGTTGTTGCGAACGTCATGTTTGTATCAGATTAATGGTTCATATTTTATGAAACACCCTCAAATATTAGAATATTTTTTATTTAAAACCGGTGAGTTTTTCGGAAAACTCATAAACATACGTATTTTGTTGTTTTGCCATATTTTAAGATTTTTTAAAAATTTATACAGGGTGTTTCATAAAATATGGCTATTGAGTAATCACGATTCTACTTAAACTGCTTGACGTTGAACTGCTTGACGAAGCTGATTTTTGGCAAACGGATTGACTGTGAGGTGTAGAGGTTAGATAAGGAGGGGTTTCTCGAATTTCAAATTCCAAGCGGATGAAAACGACCCTCATAGATTACAATATTTGGTATTTAAAAAACGGTGAGCCTTTCGGGAAAACACTTGGACACGCATAATTGATTTTGTTTTTATACATATTTTGAAATTTTTTAAAAAATCATACAGGGTGTTCCAAAAAGAGGGGTAATTGATTAACCACGATTCTGCTTAAACTGCTTGACGTAAAAAGCTTATTTTTGACAAACGGATTTTTCGAAAGTCAAATTCCAACAAGATGAAACTACCCCTCAAATATTATACCAAGTTATATAATAATATCGCCATATTGTTTTTCCTCATGCTGACATAAATGTGAGAAAATTTTATCTTAGTTTGTATGTTAATGGAAATTCTTGCTTTGCTTTATCATCACCATTACAAATGATTAATTCGACGCGAACGAAGTCGCGGGTACACACTAGTAACCTATAAAAGGCGGACCGCCAGAACAGTTAGTCACTGTTGCCCTGCAGTTTTACGATTTTAAGTTTTGAAAATATATTTGTTTACTATATTGTATTTAATAATATTAGACAAT